TTCAAACAAAGCAGATTTCAGAGCAAGGAAAGTTATCATGGATTAAGATGGGAATTAGATATGGTTAAAAGACTCATTCTGAGAAGACATAACAATCTTTAATGTCTATGCTCCTAACAACAGAGTGTCAAAATACATGAGGCAAAAACTGATAGAACTGCAAGGAGAAATAGATGGACCCTCTATTACAGTTGAAGCCTATAACACCTCTCTATCAGAAATGGACAAATTCAGCAGACAAAAAAAATCAGTAAGATCATAGTTGAACTGAAGAACACTATCAATCAACTGAATATAATTGACACCCATAGACTATTTCATCCAAAGCAACAGAATTCATTCTTCTCATATTCACATGAAACATTCACCTAGATGGACCACATTCTGGACCATCAAGCACATCTTAATAAATTTAAAAGAACAGAAATCACACAGTGTTTGCTCTCAGATAACAATGGAATTAAACTAGAAATCAATGACAGAAAGATAGTTGATAAATATCAAAATACATGGAGATTAAACAACACACTTCTAAATAATACAAAGGTCAAAGAGGAAATTTCAAGTTAAAATTCAAAATATTTTGAACTAAATGAAAATGAAAATGCAATAATCAAAATTTGTAGGATGCAGCAAAAGCAGTGCTTAGAGGGAAATTTACAGGATTGAATGCATGTAGTAGTAAAGAAAAAAGATCTAGAATAAATAATCTAAGCTTCTACCTTAGGAAATGAGAAGAAGAATAGAAAATTAAGTTCAAAGTAAGGATAAGAAAAGAAATAATAAAATTAGAGCAGAAATCAATGAAATTGAAACCAGGAAATCACTAAAGAAAAATCAACAAAATGAAAAGTTTATTCATTGAAAAGATCAATAAAATTTATAAGCCTCTACCCAGGCTACCTGATAAAAAGTGACAGAAAACACAAATTATTAATCAGAAATGAAAGCAGGGACATAACTACAAATTCCATGGATAATAAAAGCATAATAAAGGAATATTATGAACACCTCTATGCACACAAAGTTGATAACCTAGATAAAATGCACCAATTCCTAGAAAGACACAACCTGCCAAAACTCACACAAGGAAAAATAGACAATCTGAATAGGCTTATATCTATAAAAGAAACTGAATCAATAATTAATAGCCTTCTAAAACAGAAAGCACCAGGCCCAGATGGGTTCACTGGTGAATTCTACCAAACATTTAAGAAAAAAATTATGCCCATTTTCTCCAATCTATTCCAGAAGATAGAAGCAGAAAGAATACTTCCTAACTCATTCTATGAGGCCAGCATTGTCTTAATACCAAAACTAGACAAAGACATTCGAAGAAAAGAAAACCACAGACCAACATCTCTCATGAACAGAGATGCAAAATTCTTCAATAAAATAGTAGCAAATCAAATACAACAATATATAAAAAGAATTATACACCACAACCTAGTGGGATTTCTCCCAGGTATACAGGCTGCTTTAACATTCAAAAATCATATAATCTACATAAAACATCAATAACCTAAAGAAAAATCACATGATCATATCAATAAATGCATTAAAAGCATTGACAAAATCCAACACACATTCATGATAAAAAACAAAACTCCCAGTAAACTAGGAATGGAGAGAAACTTCCTCAAATTAATCTATAAAAAACATGCAACTAACATCATACCTAAAGAGAAAGAAATCATACTCATCATCTCATTTTGTGTGGGAAACTCAAAGCTTTCCTGCTAAGATCAGACACAAGTCAAGGGTATCCCCTCTCACTACTGTCATTCAACATCATAGTGGAAATCCTAGCTGATGCAGTAAGAGAAGAAAAGAAAAGGAAATAAAAGGATTACAGAAGAAGATAAGAATAAGAAGTAAGAGAAGAAAATGAAATAAAAGGTATACAGAATGGGAAAGAAGAAATAAAACAATCTTTATCTGCAGTTGGCATGATCATCTATTTAGAATAACCAAAAGAATCAACAAAAAAGCTCCTGGAACTAATAAGTGCTTATAGCAAGGATGAAAGATACAAGGTTAATATACAAAAGTCACTCACTTTTCTATATACCAGGAATGAAAAAGTGGAATTTGAATTAAAAACACATTACCATTTATATTAGCACCAAAAAATTGAAACACTTACATATGAATCTAGCTAAATATGTACAATATGTATATGAGAAAAACTATGAAACTCTAATGCAAGATATCAAGGAAAAACTAAATAAATGGAGAGATATTCCATGTCCATGGATAGGATGACTCAATTTTGTCAAGATGTCACTTCTTCCATAGATTCAACACAATGCCAACCAAAATCCCAGCAAGTTATTTTGTGGATATTGACAAATTGATTCTAAAGTTTATACAGAGAGGCAAAAGATCCAGAATAGCCAACAGAATATTGAAGGAGAAGAGCAAAGTTGGAGAATTGACACTACCTGACTTCAAGATTTACTATAAAGCTACTGTAATCAAAGTATTGGTGAAAGAATAGACGAACAGACCAATAGAACAGAACAGAGAGGCCAGAAATAGGCTCATATAAATATAGTCAACTGATCTTTGACAAAGGTGCAAAAGTAATAAAATGGAATAAAGATAGTGTTTTCAACACGTGGTGCTGGAACTACTGGACATCCACATGCAAAAAAGAAAAAAAAAAATGAATGTACACACAGAACTTAAACCCTTAACCAAAATTGAGTCAAGATGGATCATAGATCTAAATGAAAAATATGAAACCCCTAGAAGATAACATCGGAGAAAACCTAGATGACCTTGAGTATGGTGATACTTTTTTAGATATAACAGCAAAGACATGATCCATGAAAGAAATAATTGATAAACTGAATTTTATTAAAATTAAAAGCTTCTGCTCCACAAAAGACAATGTCAAGAGAATGAAAAGACAAGCCAGAGACTGGAAGAAAATATTTGCAAAAGATACATCTGATAAAAGACTGTTATCCATAATATATCAAAAACTCTTGAAACTCAGTAGTAAGAAAACAAATAATCCATTTAAAAGAAAAAGTTCCAAAAAGACCTGAACAGACACTTCCCCAAAGTAGTTATACAGATGGCAAGTAAGCATATGAAAAGATGTTCAACATTACATGTTATTGGGGAATTTCAAATTAAAACAGCAATAAGATACCACTACACTACTATTAGAATGGCCAAAATCCAAACACTGACAACACCAAATGTTGGTGAGGATCTGGAGCAGCAGAAACTCTCATTCACTGCTGGTGGGAAAGCAAAATGGTACAGCCACTTTGGAAGACATTTGGCAGTTTTTTGCAAAACTAACATACTTTTACCATATGATCCACCAAACACGTTCCTTGGTATTTACCCAAATATATCGAAAACTTATGTTCACAAAAAACCTGCACATGTATAATTATAGCAGCTTTATTCAGAATTGCCCAAACTTGGAAGCAACCAAGATGTCCTTCAATAGGTGAATAGATACATAAACTTTGGTACATCTAGACAATGGAATATTATTCAGCGCTAAAAGAAAATCAGTTATCAAGCCATAAAACAACAGGAAGGAAACAAATGCACATTACTAAGTGAAAGAAGACAATCTCAAAAGGTACACACTATGTGATTCCAAACATGTGACATTCTGGAAAAGGGAAAACTATGGAGACAACAAAAGATTAGTTGTTGCCAGGGGTTAATGGAGAGGGAGGGATGAATAGGCCGAACACAGAGGATTTTCAGAGCAGGTAAACTATTCTGTTTGATACTACAATGGTGGATACATGGCATTTGTCAAAACCCATATAATGTATAACACCAAGAAAGAACCCTAATGTAAACTATGGACGATAATGATGCATCAGTGTAGATTCATTGATTGTAACAACTGTACCACTGTGGTATGGGATATTGATAATGGGGGAAGGTGTGCATGTGTAATTCAGATGTTATAGGAGAACTCTCTGTACTTTCTGCTCAATTTTGACATAAACCCAAAACTGCTCTAAAAAATAAAGTTTATTAATTTAAAAAATCCATTTCACAGTCACACTAACCACATTTCAAGTGGTGGATAGGATACCCATAAGTAGATAGTGGCCACCCTTGTAGACAGTGAAGAAAAAAGAAATTTATGGCCCAAGCCTGGTGTAAATTAAAGAAACACTCTTATATTAATGGGAACTACAGGCCTGCTGGGAGAAGAATCATAATGGTTATGGATCATTTTGTATTTATTCCGTTGCACACATACATTCTTATTACTCTAAAAATAAAAAAGAGGAAAAAAGGAGACGAAGAAGGAAAAACTAAAGCATATTTTGAGTTATTGGACTGGTTGCTGTCTAAGGCCAAACTAGACAGTGCCATTTGAAAGTCTTTATTAAGACAGGAAAATTTTTCCCAAGTATTTTCCATAGTCTGATAGCAATAATATACATAGGTTTATTTTCAAATGTTCATCTCTGCTGTGAAGAACCATTGGAACATCTCTCTATGATCAAACGTGAAAAAAGTTGATATTTTGAATATTCATTCATCCACATTTTTAAAACACAGTTAAAAAGGCATTCAGCTAATTTTTCTCTTGATTTTTTGAAGGGTCATTTGATGATTATTCATTGATGACGTTATCTAAAAAATGATTACAAAGAGACATGTAGGAGTCCTTCCAATAAATACATAGATAGGTAGATAGATTTATTATGGTTCTTAATGACACTCAAAAGTTTATCCAGTGTTTGCAAAACCTAACACTCTGTCTGTGGAATCCTTTATCCATGCACTGTCTCCAAGAACATTTTCTGCAGAAGTCATCTATGAGATCACAACTTGCTGAAAAATTGGTAAATTAGAAACTGTTTGGCCTTTATGAATCCAAAAGATAGATGGACTGACTTTTGTTTATCTTTCTTCTCTCATGTGTTGGCTGACCAACTTACTTGTTTTATTAAGTGTTACACCACAGAGACAATCACATGACCTTTTTGCTTTTCTTCCAGATTGTTGACAGCATGAAGCCATACAAACAACTGTGTCTTCATAGCAGTGCTCATCGCATTCATTCAATAAACATTAGATGAATTGAATTTGTAAACAACTTATGTTGGTTCTAATGAGCATGCAAGATTGTATTTGGCATTCACTGCCACAGACTTTACAAAAACACGAGGGAAGTTGCTCTAGTGAATGAAAAAATTACACAGTGATCGATTTTGCCATACAGTCCTTATTAAGAATTTAAGAAAATAACATCCCTTCTCACTTTGAGAAACAATAGATATTTCTTTTATTTACTTATTCTAATCAATCCATGTTTGTCTTTTCATACAACTTAAAATTGAGGCAGAAGAGAAAAATGAATAGTGGATAGAATTGTGACAGATTCTCTTTCTGGGAAGTTTAAAAACAAAACAGTGACATCAGCATCATGGCAGAGAGGGTTGTTCTTTCCATGTCTCCCCTCTAAGTAACAACTAAACAGACATTCATTAACCAAAACAGGATTCCCTACACAGTACAACAGGATGTCTGAGAGATCCATGCAGCCATATATCTGAAGGTGAGTGGACTGTATCCCCAGAAAGCAGTAGAACTAGGTGAGCAGACCCCATCCTCTCCCCAGCAGCAGCAATCCAGTTCACAAATCCTCACACAGTGGCTGGCACGACTGTAAGAGGAGGTGGGGCAGCCCAGCCCATGTGCAAATGCTTTCAGAGTGGTAGCCTGGCCCATGGGAATGCTCACTATGCTGTAACAGCTGGTTCACAGGAATGCTTCCCACTGAGTGATGGGGGCTCAGCAGCTGTGAAGAAGCCCTGCCCACCAAGTGTAGCAGCTCAGCCAAATTGCCCAGAGTACAGAGCTGGCCCACATGAAAGAAAGTGCCCCTCACTTCCTACCTAGTGAAACAGCTCAGCTAATCTCCTACTGAGCACAGCAGTCCCACCTGCATGAGAGCAACTCACTGGCAGAGCACAGAGGGCCTGCCTGAACCCATGAAGTGGCTGCATCCAGCACATGCAAATACAGAGCAACCCTACTGGCACAACTTCCAGCATTTGGGGCAGGATTAGAAAACACAGCTCCTAACCCCCCTGCCCCGAGTGGTGGCAGGTGGAATCTGTGACTTGATACTAACACAGATGCACCAGAAAAGGATCAATTCATCAAAATCCATGAAGAACTACTTCAGAGCAGAATGAAAATGACGTCTCCAGAAACCAATCCTGAAGTCACAGAAATGTACAATATAAATGAAAGAGCATTCAAAATAATTGTCATAAAGAAACTCAATGAGTTACAAGAAAACTCAGAAAGACAGCTCAGTTAGCTCAGGAATAAAATTAATGAGCAGAAGGAATACTTCACCAAAGTGATTGAAGCTCTAAAAAAAAAAAAAAAAAAAAAAAAACCAAACAGAAATTCTGGATATGAAGAAAAAATTAATGAGATAAAAAATAATCTAGAAACCACAAAAAATAGAGCTGATGTTATGCAGGAAAGAATCAGTGATTTAGAGGATAGAAATATAAAAATGCTTCAGGTGGAGGAGGAGAGAGAACTAAGATTTTGAAAAAATGAAGAAATTCTTTGAGAAATATCTGACTCTATTAGAAAAAGCAACATAAGGATAATATGCATTCCAGAAGGAGAAGCAAGGGAGAAAGGAGCAGAGAGCTTGTTCAAAGAAACAATACCTAAGAACTTCCCAAACTTGGGGAAGAAACTGGATTTATAAGTATATGAAGCCAATAGAACTTCTAATCACATCAATGCAAAAAAGACTTTCTCCAGGCATATCATATTAAAATTGGTAGATTCAATGACAAAGAAAAACATTAAGGGTAGCAAGGCAGAAGAAAATAATCAACAAAGGAACCCCTAGCAGGCTTTCAGCAGATTTCTCAGCAAAAACCCTACAGGCCAGGAGAAAATGCAACTATATATTCAAAATACTGAAAGACACAAACTTTCAGCCAAGAATACTCTATCCAGTGAAACTATCCTTCAGATATGATGGAGAAATAAAAGCTTTCCCAGATAAACAAAAGATGAGGGAATTCAATGCCACTAGGTCTGCCTTACAAGAAACATTGAAAGGAGCCCTCCCATTTGAAACTAAAGAGTGAAGGTTTACAAAACCTTGAGCAGGGAGATAAATTGACAGATAGAATCAGAGAAATGCAGCTCTATATCAGAATAGGTTAGTAACCACTTAATTATAACATAACAGATAAGGGGCAGGAAGGCATCAAAAATAACTCTAAACAATTTAGTCACAAACTCACAACACAAAACAGAACAATTTGCAGCAACAATAACTAAGAAGGAGAAGAAAAAGGGATGGAACCTGCTAAGGCTAATGGAGATAAGAGGGTATCAGAAAATGGACTATCTCATCTATGAGATCTTTTATACAAACCTCATAGTAAGCACTAAGCAAAAAATCAGAGTACAGCCACAAATCATAAATAAAGAGAAAACTGAGAAAATCACCAAACTGAAATGGCAGTCAGAAATACAAGGGAAACATAGAAGAACCAGAAAACAAGAGATTTAATGGCAGTAGTAAGCCCTCATATATCAATAATTACTCTAACTATAAATAGGTTGAATTCTCCAATCAAAAGACACAGATTAGCTGGACGGATTAAAAAATAAGATACAACAATCTGCTGCCTCCAGGAAACACAGCTCAGAAGTTATCTCTAAGGACAAATCTAGGATCAGAGTGATGGGATGGATGATGATACTCCAAGAAAATGGCAAGCAAAAGAAAGCAGGTGTTGCAGTACTTATATCAGACAAAGCAGAAGTCAAGACAAAAAAAGACAGTGAGAGACAAAGAAGGGCAGTATATAATGATGAAAGGGACATTTCACCAAGAGTACATAACACTTGTGAATATATAGGCATCTAACACAGGAGCACCAAAGTATATAAAGCAACTATTAACAGACCTAAAGGGAAAAATTGACAGCAACACAATAATTGTAGGGGATTGCAACACCCCACTTACATCAATGGATAGATCATCCAGAAGAAAGTCAACAAGGAAACAGTGGCCTTAAATGAAACACTAGACCAGATGGACTTAATACATATCTATAGAACATTCCATCCCCAAGCAGCAGAATACACATTTTTCTCAAGTGCACAAGGAACATTCTCAATGATAGACCATATGTTGGGAAACAAGGCAAGAAACAATAAATTTAAGAAGACTGAAATCATATCCAGCATCTTTAACTACAATGCTATGAAACCAAAAATCAACTACAAGAAAAAGGCTGGGCAAGTTCAAATATGTGGGGACTAAACAAGATGCTGCTGAACAACTACTGGGTCAATGAAGAAATCAAAGGAGAAATCAAAAAATACCTGGAGACAAATTGAAAATGAAAACACAACATATCAACTCTTACAGGTTACAGCAAAAGCAATACTAAAAGGGATGTTAACAGCAATAGAGACTACCTCAACAAATAAGAAAAATCTCAAATAAGTAATCTTAAACTACATCTAACAGAACTAGAAAGAGAAGAAAAAACAACCCAAAAGTCAGCAGTGGAGGGAAATAATAAAAATGAAACCAGAAATAAATGAAATAGAGAATAATAAAAAAATAGAAAGGATCAATGAAACTAAGAGCTTGTTTTTTGAGACAATAAGCAAAATTGACAAACTCCTCACCAGACTCACTAAGAAAAAAAGAGAAAAGCTCATATAAATAAAATTAAAAGTGAAAGAGGAAAAATTACAACAGATACCACAGAAACACAAAGGACTGTAGGAGAATAGTATGAAAAAGTATATGCCAACAAATTAGATAACCTAGAAGAAATGGATAAATTCTTAAACTCATACAACCTCCCAAAACTGAATGAAGAAGAAATAGAGAATCTGAATGGACCAATCACAAGTAAAGAGATTGAAACAGTAATCAAAAATCTCCCCAAAAATAAAAGTCCAGGACCAGATGGTTTCTTTGGAGAATTCTACCAAATATACAAAGCAGATTTAACACCTATCCTTTCCAAACTATTTCAAAATATTGAAGAAGATGGAATGCTTCCTAACTCATGCTATGAGGCCAAAATTACCCTGATACCAAAAACAGACAAGGACAGCACAAAGAAGGAAAATTACAGGCCATATTGCTGATGAACACAGAGGAAAAAATCCTCAAGAAAATATTGGCAAACTGAATACTGCAATACATTAAAAGGATCATATACCATTATCAAGTGAGATTTATACCAGGGACACAGGGATTGCTCAACATCTGCAAATTAATCAATGTGATACACCACATTAACAAAATAAGGAATAAAAACCACATGATCATTTTAATAGATGCAGGGAAGCATTTGACGGGATCTAACATCCATTTATGATAAAAACTCTCAATACAATGGGTACAGAAGGAAAGTACCTCAACATAATAAAGGCCATATATGAAAAACTGACAGCTAACATCATACTCAATGGTGAAAAACTGCAAGCCATTCCTCTGAGAACAGGAACAAGACAAAGGTGCCCACTCTCACCACTCCTATTCAACATAGAACTGGAGATTTTGGCCAGAGCAATTAGGCAAGAAAAAGAAATAAAAGGTATCCAAATTGGAAAGGAAGAAGTGAAACTCTCACTGTTTGCAGATTACATGATTCTCTATATAGAAAACCATAATAAATCCACCAGAAAACTATTAGAAATAATCAACAGCTACAGCAAAGCTGCAGGGTACAAAATCAACTTTCAAAAATCAGTTGCATTTCTATACACTAATGATGAACCAGCAGAAAGAGAAGTCAAGAATACAATCCCATTTAAAATCACAACAAAAAGAATAAGATATCTAGGAATAAATTTAAATAAAGAGGTGAGAAACCTGTACATTGAAAATTATAAGACATTATTTAAAGAAATTGCAGAAGACATAAAGAAATAGATAATCCATGCTCATGGATTGGAAGAATAAATTTGGTTAAAATGTCCATATTACCTAAAGCAATCCATAGATTCAATGCAATTCTAATCAGAATCCCAATGATATTCTTCACAGAAATATAAGAAAGAATCCTAAAATTTATATGGAACAATGTAAGATCCTGAATAGCCAAAGCAATCCTGAGAAAAAGGAACAAAGCAGGAGGTATCACACTCCCTGAGTTCAAAATATACTATAAAGCTATAGTAACCAAAACAGCATGGTACTGGCACAAAAACAGATCAGTGGAACAGAATTGGAAGCCTGGAAATAAAACTGCACATCTATGGGCAGCTAATCTTCAAAAAGGAGCCAAGAACATGCAGTGGACAAAGGAAAGTCTCCTCAATAAACGGTGTTGGGAAAACTGGACAGCCATACGCAAAAGAATGAAAGTAGACCATTCTCTTACACCATACACAAAAATTAACTCAGAATGAATTAAAGACTTGAATGTAAGACCAGAAGCCATAAAACTCCTAGAAGAAAATATAAGCAGTCCACTCTTTCATATCAGTCTTAGTGTCATCTTTTCGAATACCATGTCTACTCAGACAAGGGCAACAAAAGAAAAAATAAACAAATGGGACTACCTCAGAGTAAAATGCTCTGCAAGGCAAAGGAAACCATGAACAAAATGAAAAGACAATCCACCAACTGGGAGAAAATATTTTCAAATCATATATCTAACAAGGGGTTAATTTCCAAAATATATAAAGAATTCATACAACTCAATGGTAAAAAAATAAACAACCCAATAAAAAAAATGGGCAGAGGATAGGAATAGACATTTTTCCAAAGAAAACATACAGATGGCCAATAGGCACATGAAAAGATGTTCAGCATCATTAATTATTAGGGAAATGCAAATCAAAACTACAATGAGGTATCACCTTACATCCATTAGAATGGCTATAATTAACAAGACAAAAAATAGCAAATGTTGAGAGGATGTGGAAAAAAGGGAACCCTCATATACTGCTGGTGGGAATACAAACTGGTGCAGCCACTATGGAAAACAGTATGGAGATTTCTCAAAAAACTAACAATAGACATACCATATGATCCAGCTTTGCCCATACTGAGTATTTATCCAAAGAACATGAAATCAACAATATGAAGAGATTTATGCACCTCTATGTTCATTGCAGCATTATTCACAATAGCCAAGATGTGGAAGCAACCGAAGTGCCCATCAACTGATGAATGGATAAAGAAGATGTGGTCTATATATAATAGAATACTACTCA